CCTCACTTGGTGGTCCACGTGGAGAGAGAGAGAGTGAGAGATATTTCTTGCTCACCAAGGCCTTTATATTCTCTGGGGATGTGCAAGCCCCTAATTACAGGTGCTGTCATAAGTCACAGGAAAGGGTTGTGCTATAGGTAGTACAGTAATGGGAGGGAGGTGATCTAGGGGTATCCATGTAATAGGAAGGGGAGGTAATAGAAGTACACATGTGACAAGATGGGCGGATCCTAGATTCAAGATTGCAGCCTAACTTTGGATGTCACTGAGCTGGGTTGACCTGTTCTCTGGCTCGCTATAGAAACCATTATCAGTAGGGTGTAAACCCACCTACAGGAATCTGCCTTTGCAAGAAGTAGCCCATTGTCACAAGCCTTTGGTGAGAAGTAGCCCATTGTCCTTAACATCAGGTGACGCGATTTTAACATTGGTAAAGCGTGACAAAAGCAGGACACCATTGATAACCCTCATATCCGGGTGAAATAGCCACATGGCAGCCAAACACAGTATACCCTAGCTTGTCGTGCATTCTTTCCAAAAATCGGGACTTTTTCAAAATGTCGCAGGATGCGGGGAAAAATTGGACTGTCACGCCAAAAGCGGGACATCTGGTCACCTTACAAGTTAATAGGAAGGAGCAGGACCTACCTGTTTTGGGCCCAGACAGTAGTCTGGCAACTGACTGCCTTCAGGGAGGTGACTTGACAATCATTTACCATTTGTTGCAAGCACTGTCCTAAGTCTAACGTATTTGGGGGAGACGACTTGGGAGAAATCTTTGTGTTTCCCACAACCACAGATCAATGCAAACAAACCTACAACCAAAATTCCTATCTGTGTCTTTAAATTCTTAAGTGTGCTTTGAAATGTTTAATAAAGTTAGGTTGGTTTTAAAATTTAGCTCAGTGACTCAGTTGCAGCTGTTTCAAATAATTGGTCATGAGCTTTTTATACTATCTGGCTTAATCTAAGAGAGTACAGCTTCCTGCTTTCTCTTCTCCGGGAACAGGAATCTGAAAATACATATCTTAAGGGATTATTTCAATTGTTCATACATAAGGATAAAAAATAGTAAAGATTTCACAAAAGGTAATATACTTTTAATTTTAGATACTTTTAATATAGATAAAAATAATGGGACTTTCAATTGACCATGTATTTTTAAAATGAAGAAAATCACATGCTCATTGTATCAATTTGGAAAAGTCAGACCTTTTAAAAAAGAAATGAACATTACATGCACTTTTTGCACTTAGTGATAGCTGCTTTAACATTGGGCTTCACTGTCTTGACTTCTGCTTTATTGCTTCTGTAATGATTAGAATTGGGTACTCAATACAACATTTGTTTGAATTATGTTGGAACTTAAGAGATTCGTAAACAAATGGCCAATACTGATCTTTGAGAAACATTTTCCTTTTTTATCTAAAAGCACTTCCTTTTTTTACGTTACCAACAACAAGCAACAGTAGCAATGTACAGGCTCTCCCCTTCTATCATGACTTAATAAATATTGGTTGCAGGGGGAAGGAGCATTAGAACTGATTGTGATGATGTATGTACAACGCTTTTAAAAAGCGATTTAACTATGGAAGTATAATATGTGAATATTGTATCAAGAAAATTGAAAAAAGGAAACCAAACTTGATCAATGGTTACCATGGGTAAAGAAGGAAGAGTGGTTGCTTAGGGGGCATTGAGTTTATATTAATGGTGGTGGAATAATTTGGAAAGGGATATTAATAATGATTGTACAACATGAAGAGTATAATCAATGGCACTGAATTATACATGTAGAAGTTGTTCAGTTGGGGAAAAAAATATTGGTTCCTTTGATTAGCCATAAAACGGAACCTGTGGCTACCTGAGTAATTAACTCAAGGTCTGTTTTCTGGTCTCTCTCTTAAGAGACTGCAATCACAATCACAATTATGGTTGCCCTCCATTGTCTAAGCAGTTGTCATGAGGGGTCTCAAGTCGGTTCTGACCCATAGCGACCCTATGTATCACAGAAGGAAATACTGCCCTGACCTATACTGTGGTATAGGTTAAAATGATCCTTTCACGAGAAGTAACATAACTTTCGGAACACAGGAACTCAAGTGAAATAATCTACCGTCAATTCTTATTTCAAGTGCGATTACAGAAATATGAGTCGAATGGGCAAATGAACTGATTTTAAATAAATACATCTCATCTGGTGAGTGTTGCACCTCAGTAGTCACCTTCGGAGGTTATGAGTTTATTCCAGCTGTCCTGTTACTGCTGTTAACTTTTTATTTTTTTTAATTTTTTGGTGAGATTAGACATGCTGATAGTTTTACAATAAAAAAAAGAAATAAAGACTGTTATGTGAAATACTACCTTGTTCCAGGTTTTAGCCACACCTGCACACCCATGAGTCAATCTATATTTTTTAAAGTTTTATTGAGAAATAATTAACGTCATACAATTCAGTAGTTCAAGCATATTAAGAAGAGTTGTACAATAATCACCACAGTCATCTTTGGGACATTTTCTTCCTTCTTTTCTTTTGAAATCATTTTATTGGGGGCTCGTACAACTTTTATCACAATCCATACATCCATCCATTGTGTCAAGCACATTTGTACAATTGTTGCCATCATCATTTTAGAAACCTTTTCTTTCTACTTGAGCTCTTGGCATCAGCTCATTTTTTCCCCTCCCTTCCCTCTGCCCCCTCCCTCCCTCCCTCCCTCATAAACCCTTGATTATTTATAAATTATTATTATTTTTTCATGTCTTACACTGACTGATGTCTTCCTTCACCCACTTTTCTGTTGTGCAACCCCCTGGGAGGGGGTTATAGGTAGATGATTGTGATCGGTTTCCCTATCTCCCCCCACAAAAATTTCCCTTCCCCTCCTGGAATGGCTACTTCTGCTCCTGAGGGGTTTATCTGTCCTGCTTTCCCAGTGTTTCCAGCTCTTGTCTGTACCCGTGTACATGCTCTAGTCTAGCCAGATTTGTAAGGTGAAATTGGGGGCATGATAATGGGGGCAGGAAGCATTAAAAAACTAGAAAAAAGTTGTATGTTTCATCCGTGCTATACTGCACCCTGACTGTATTGTCTCCTCCCCACAATCCTTCTGTAAGGGGATGTCCAGTTGCCTACAAATGGGTTTTGGGTCTTTACTCTGCACTCCCCCTCATTCCAATGATAAGATTTTTTGTTCTGGGTTTTGATGCCCGACATCTGATCCTATCAACACCTCATGATCACACAGGCTGGTGTGTTTCTTCCATGTGGGCTTTGCTGCTTCTCAGCTAGATGGCCACTTGCTTATCTTCAAGCCTTAAAGACCCTAGATGCTATGTCTTGATAGCTGGGCACCATCAGCTTTCTTCACCATATTTGCTTATGCACCCTCTTTGTCTTCAGTGATTGTGTTAGGAAGGTGAGCATCATGGAATGTGAGGTTAATAGAACAAAGTGTTCTTGCATTGAGGGAGTACTTGAGTAGAGGCCCAATGTCCATCTGCTACCTTGATACTAAACCTATAAATATATGTACATAGATCTATTTCCCCATCATCATATATAAATCTATTTACATATATACATGTCTGTATTTAGACCTCTATAAATACTCTTTGCTTCCTACTTCTTTCCTCTACTTCCTTTTACTTTCCTCTTGACCCACTATCATGTTTAGCCTTCATTTGAGTTTCAGTAATTCCTCTTGGTTACATTGCCCTTGACCACCTACCAGGCCTCCTACACCCTCCTTGCCATCGATTTTGGATCACTTGTTGTTCCCCTGTCCCTGAGTTTGTTAACATCCACTTCCTTTCCCCCATCTCCCCCTCTCCCAGGTCACCCAGGAACCATTGTTCCCATTGTTTTCTTCTCCAGATTGTTTATCCCACCTATCTTACCTAGATAGACACGCAGAGATAGTAATATGCACCAAAAAAATGACGGAGCAAAACAAAGCAACAAAAGAAAACCCAACAACAACAAAAAGAAAAGCTTATAAGTAGTTCAAGGTCTGTTTGTTGACCCTTAGGAATGTTTTCCTGTCGAGTTGGATGGGGTGCCACGCTCTGGCCCCAAAGTCTATTTTTTGTTTTCCCTGGGGACTTCATTGCTCTGCTTCCTTTGCTGTTCTGTTGCACACCCTGAGTGTTTTGCCTTGGTGTGGTGGGGTCAGATCAGGCACAATTCTCCCACTGTGTCTCCACTGTTGTCCCCCGAAGCGCTGTGTGTCAGTGAGGGACGTTGTGTCTTGTAGTGGGGCCATCCATATGGTCCTCTCTGTGCATTGGCTGCTCTTAGCATGAATATCATCCTCAGGGCATGGTGGGCCAGGATGTGCCCCACTGTCTCTCCCTCTCGCTTCATTCGCTGTTGTATGCTCTGATCAGATGTGCCCCTCTCCCAGAGCTGTAGCTCTAATGCTGTCCTCTGAAGTGAATTCTTCTGGGGGGAGAGGGGACTGTTCATGTAGTTGGGATTGGGGCCACCCCTCAGACCTCTCTATTGGTTCCCTTCTTGATGTGGGTATGTTGCATTCACGTCTTGGAACACCAGATTGAAGTCTGGTCCCTCTTTCCCTGTGGAGCTATAAACAACACCCTCCCCTTGGGTGGGTTAGTACCCTGTTTCCCTGCTACCCATGCCTCTCCCCCTTTTTAGTTGACTCCCATTTGTATCCCTGGATTTGGCCTGGCCCCGGCCATAATACCTGGACTTCACCCCAGAAATGTATTTACACATTAGCATATTTCCTATGCGCCCTTTGCTTTTTTTTTCTTTTACAACGCTACGTTTAATATTTTGGGGTGAGCCCCACAGGAATAAAAAACACTGGGAAGGGGTAACCCCCTCAACCCTCAGGTGTGGCCCAGGGGGAGAGGGGCTACCTGAGGGGAAGGAAGCACAAAAGGGACCCGCTGCAGACTCAGGGCAAAGGGAATGCTATCGGTGCTGGGACCTGTGAGCATTTCAGGAGGAACGCGAACGTGGTAGGACTGGCTCCAGGCACACAGGCGGAGGGCAAGAGGGTTGGACACGAAGCCACAAAGCTACTTGGTTTCCTCCTTCTTCTCGTTTGCCTTTTTCTGCTTCTGCTGCATGATCTCCGAGTCCCTCTGCTTGCGGGCAACAGCAGAAAGCCCGTCATCTCGGCACTTTCCCTTAACGGAGTCACTCTGATTTTTCATATTCTTCTGGCGGGCAAGCTTGCCTTGGTTACCGTGGGTCACGGCGCCGGCAGCAGCTCCAGCCTGCCCAGGTTGCGTCCCCTAGTTCTGTCTGACGTTGCAGGCCCCGCCCCCTTCTACTACGTACCTTTTGCATTTTTAAGCTTACCTCAGTGGACTCTTACGTTGTACTTTTCCTTTTGTGCTTGGCGTACTTTGCTTAGCATAATTTCCTCAAGTTCTTCCCATGCCGTGATATGCTTCATGCGTTCATCACTGCTCTTTAGGGATGTGTAGTACTCCATTGTATGTATGCACCACACTTTTTTAATCCGTTCGTCTGTTGATGGAACTTTGGGTTGTTTCCAACTCCTTGCAATTGTGAACTGTGCCGTGATGAACATTGGAGTACAGATGTCTGGCCGTGGTTTGTTTCTTGCCTCTTCTGGGTATATGCCCAGTAGGGGGATTGCTGGGTTGTATGGTAGCTCCATTTCTATCTAATTTAGATACCACCAACATAATTTCCACAGTGGCTGTACATACCCACATGTCCACCAGCAGTGGATGAGAGTTCCTATCTCCCTCCAGCCCCTCCAACACTTGTTGCTTTCTGATTTTTTGAATTGGGCTATCTTTGAGGGTGTTCAGTGGTTATCTCATAGTTGTTTTATTTATTTATTCTTTTTAAAAATAATTTTATTAGGGTTCATACGACTCTTATCACAATCCATACATACATCAATTGTGTAAAGCACATTTGTACATTCATTGCCCTCGGCATTCTCAAAACATTTGCTCTCCACTTAAGCCCCCGCCATCAGGTCCTCATTTTTTCCCCTCCCTCTTTTCTCCCCCCTCCTTCATCATAGTTGTTTTAATTTGCATTTCTTTTATGGCTAATGATTGGGAACATTTTCCCATGTTTCTTGGCCATGCGGATTTCTGCCCTTGTGAAACTTCTTTTTAGGTCCTTTGTCCACCTCCTCAGTGGGCAATTAGGTTTTTTCTTTTTGGAAGCTAGCAGAGTATTGTAGATTTTAGCAATAAGGCCTTTGATGTGTCATTGCTAAAGATGTTTTCCCAGTCTGTGGACTTTCTTATTACTCTCTTGGTGAATTCTTTCAATGTACACAGGTGTTTATCTTCAGTATATCCCACTTGTCAATTTGTGACTCATCTGTATTTGTGTCCTTCCCTATTTCTGATAGCCTATGTATTCCCTGCGCCAAAGTTCTCAGTTTGTCCCAGTTCCCTCATTGATGGCCCTAATAGTTTGGGGTTTTACCTTGAGGTCTGAGATCCACCTTGAGTTTATTGTGCATGGTGTGAGATAAGGGTCTTACTTCATTTTTTGGCAGGTATTTATCCATTTTTCCCCAGCATCACTTGTTGAGTAGGGCGTCCACTTCCCATTTGATATTTTTGGGGCCCTTATCAAAGATCAGTTGTCTGTATGCTGGTGATTTTATTACTGGGTTCAGTTCTTTTCCATTGGTCTGAATAGCTCTCATTATTCCAATACCATGTGGTTTTGACCACTGTGGCTGTGTAATATGTGCTAACGTCAGGTAAAGTAAGCCCTTCCACTATGTTCTTCTTTTTAAGGAGTTCTCTGCTAATTCTGGGCTGCTTTCTTCTCCATGTGAAGTTGGTAAATCAGTTTTTCCATGTCTATGAAGAAAGATGATGGTAATTGTATCAGGATTGCATTAAACGAATGTAGTACCTTGGGCAGAACTGACATCTTTACTATATTTAGTCTTCCAATTCAGGAGCGTGGGTTATTCTTCCATTTGTTGAGGTCACTCTTGGTTTCTTATAACACTGTTCTATAGTTTTCCTTATACAAATCTTTTGTTTTTTTAGTCAGGTATATTCCTAGATATTTCAATTTGTGCTTGGCTATTGTAAAGGGTATCACCGTTTTGATCCCCTCTTCTGTGGTCTTGTCTGATGTGTATAGCAGTCCGATAGACTTCTGTGTGTTGATCTTGTATCCTCCCACTCTGCCATAGTCCTCTATTGTAGTGGTTCTCAACCTTCCTAATACTGGGACCCTTTAATACAATTCCTCATGTGTGGTAACCCTGTATATGGGTGTATCTGCATATTGGCGACCTGCCTGGAGATGAATAGAGGAGTGGTGTCTCGGTTCCTAAGACCAAAAAACTATGGTCTTAGGCGACCCCTGTGAAAGAGTCATTTGACCCCCAAAGGGGTCATGACACCCAGGATGAAAACTGCTGCTGTATTGCTTCCAGTACTCCCCTATGGAGCTTTTGGGGTTTTCCATATATAAGATCATATCATCTGCAAATAACGATAGTTTCACCTCTTCCTTCCCCAGGTGAATACCTTTGATGTCTTTTCTTTGCCTTATACTGTTAGCTAAAACCTCCAGTACAATGTTAAATAAGAGTGGGGACAGGGGGCATCCTTGTCTGGTCCCCTTTTTCAGTGAGATTGTTTTCCTCTTTTCTCCATTGACTACCACACTGGCTGTTGGTTTTTCATATATAGCTTATATTATATTGAGGAATTTTCCATCTATTCCTATTTTCTTGAGTGTCTTAAACAGGAATTGGTGTTCGACGTCGAATGCTTTTTCCGCATCTATCAATATTATCATGTGGTTCTTATAATTTTTCACGTAAATATGGTGAATGATACTAATGGTCTTTCGTATGTTGAACCATTCCTGCATCCCTGGTATGAATTCCACTTGGTCATGGTGAATTGTTTCATATACTTTTATATTCTATTGGCCAGTATTTTGTTAAAGATTTTTATATCAATGTTTATTTGGGATATTGGTCTGTAGTTCTCCATTCTTGTGGGATTCTTGCCCAGTTTTTGGTATCAGAGTTATACTAGCTTCATAGAAAGAGTTCGTGAGTTTGCCATCTTTTTCTATGTTTTGGAAGAGTTTGTGTAGGATTGGTGTCAGTTCTTCCCTAAGTGCTTGATTGAATTCTCCTGTGAAGCCATCTGGTCCAGGGGATTTTTTTTTTTTTTTTTTGGTAATTCCTCAATAACCTTGTCTATTTCTTCTATTGCTATGTGTGTGCTGAGATTCTTGACATCCATCGGGGATAGTCTAGGGAGGGATTGTTTTTCCAAGAATTTGCCCATGTCTCTCAAGTTGTTGAATTCATTGGCGTACAGCCCTTCATGGTACTATGTAATTATCCTTTTGATTTTATTAGGGTCTGTTGTAATGTCCCTTCTTTCATCCCTCATTCTTGCTACTGAAAATTTCCCCTTCCTTTCTTTGGTTAGGTTTGCCAGCGGTCTGTCGATTCTGCTTATCCTTTCAAAAAACCAACTTTTAGCAGTGTTAATTTTTTACATAGTTTTCTTATTTTCCCTCTCTTGAATCTTAGCCCAAAGTTTTATTATTTCTTTTCATTTGCTATTAGTGGGATTGTCTTGTTAACTCTGCTCTAGTTGTGCCAGCATATCAGTCATAAGTCTCTCTTCCTTTTTCATGTGTGCATGTATTGCTATGAAACTTCCCTCGCTGTGCCCCATAAGTTTTGTTATGTTGTGTTCTCATTATCATTGGTTTCTAGAAATTTCCTAATTTCATCTCTGTTCTGCGCCAGTACATACTCCTTTTACAATAGAGTTATTTATCATTTAAATTGTTGTATTTGCCCTTGTTTTCTTCATCTTCCTTTTGTTGATTTCGAGTCTTATGGCACATTAGTCAGAGAGAGAGGTCTGTATGATATCAATGTGCTTAAATTTATGCAGATCCGACTAATGCCCTGGCACGTGGTCTGTCTTTGAACATGTGCCATGTGGGCTTGAAAAGAATATGAATTTGTTTGTATTTTGTTGGAAAGCTCTGTAACTATCTATCAGGTCAAGTCATCCAATTGTGCTGTTTAGACATGTAACTTCTTTGTTGAGTTTCTTTCCCTGTGATCTATCTCAGAGAGCATATATTTTTCAGAGAGTGGTGTATTGAAGTCACCTACCATAATTGTTGAGTCAGTTACTTCTTTTTTCATCTTTTGGAACATTTGATTGACATATTCAGCGAGTCTCTTGTTTGGGCAATATATGTTTAAAATGCTTAGTGGTTCTTTGTCTACAGTTCCCTTGAGCATTATATACTGTCCTTCCTCATCTCTTTTTATGGTTTACACTTTGAGATAAAATTTGTCTGAGATTAGGATTGCAACCCCTGCTTTTTTTAAAGTGTTGTTTGCTTGGTATGTTTTTCTCAAGCCTTTGATTCTCAGCCTATTTTTGTCTGTAATCTGGAGATGTGTCTCCTGTAGGCAGCCGATTGATGCCTCAGCCTTTTAATGCTTGAGTTCAGTCCATTGATTTTCAGGGCTATTACATCCATCTGTGAACTCTTTGATGGCATCTTATACCTTTTGTGTTGGGTGGTTTCCTACCTCCCTTTCTTTTCAGTGTGTTGTGCGTGTGTGTGTGTATGTGTGTGTGTGTGTGTGTGATTCCTGTCTTCTTTCCACCCTTAAGCCAATGCTATCTTGTGGTCTGTGTTCTCTTTGTTGCTCTTGGTGGGGTTGTTCTATGTAGCGGTCTCTTGTTTGTGCTCACTGAGTGCTGTTCTTCTGCCCATACTGGGCTGGCAAGGACCTTTTGTAGGGCCGGATTTATTTTAACATATTGTTTGAGTTTTTCTTTGTCTGGGAAGACTCTTACTTCTCCATCTATCTTGATAGATAATTTGGCTGGATAGAGTATTTTTTGGGTTTGTGTTATTTTCCTTCAATTTTTGGAATATATTACTCCACTCTCTCCTCTTCTTCATAGTTTCTGCTGATAGGTCTGAGCATATTCTTATTTGGGAACCTTCATATGTGATTGCTTATTTTTCCCTAGCTGCTTTCATGATTTTCTCCTTTTCCTCATAGTTGGATAGTTTTTTAAATTAAATAATCATTTTATTAGGATCTCATACAACTCATCACAATCTGTACATACGTCATTTTTGTCCAGCACATTAGTACACATTAGCACATGACTTCATCATTCTCACAACACCCACTTTCCACTTGAGCCCTTGGTGTCAGTTCATTTTCCCCAATCCCTCTCTGCTCTCCCCAACCCCCCAAGCCCCTGGTAATTTATAAATTATTATTATTTTATCATATCTTACCCCATCCAATGTCTCCCTCACCCACTTCTCCACTGTCCGTCCCCCAGGGAGGAGACCATGTGCAGACCTTGTCATCTGTTACCCCTTTCTCCCTCACCCTCCTTCCCTCCACCTTCCCGCCATCGTCACCCTCTCCACTGGTCCTGGGGCGTTCATCTGTCCTGGGTTCACTGTATTTCCAGTTCCTATCTGTGGCAGTGGCTTCACTCACTACTTTCTGCAGACTAAATGTTTAGCATTTAGGCCCTCGTACCGTTCTCTCCTCAGAATACAGAAGCTGATGTGCTTTTTTGTGTTACTTAGCTGACTCCTCATTTAGATCGTTGTAGATGCTATTTTTTTCTAATAGCCATGCCCCATCAGATTTCTTCACTACACTTTGTTATGTAACACCTGTATCTCTTCACAGAAAGGTGGAACAAGTACATGCTATGAGTTTGGAACAGTGTGCATTATAGGAAAGGATGTAATGAATAGTTGTGATACAATGGTCATTATACACAAAAAAATGAGTAGTTAAACAAACCATGATGGTAATCCTTGTAGTATGAGTTGTTAAATATTAAACTGATGATCAGCCCTGTAAACCTTTACCTAATTCACAAAAAAAGTTAAAAAATTTTTTTCAAAAAATGTAAAGCAACATAGTCTTTCTCAGTACATTTTTGGGACCATATAACTTATTCTTAAAGTTATTTACGTTAACATTATGGGAATATTGTTATTGATAATTAGAAAATATATTTAATAATTTAGTTTATATTTGTTATATGGTAAGTAGCATTAGACATAACCCACAATGCAAAAGCTCATTGGGATCCTCAAAATTTTACTTGTGTAATTTTAAATAGTGAATAAGACAAAAAAGTTTGAGAATTGATGGACTAAAGGAAAGGTACAAAGAATCTTAGATGTACTTAGGGATGGCAGATTGTGGCTGGATGGTTTAGTTACTGATAAAGAATTGCAGGATATTAATAAATCCTAATAGTTCCTATTGTTTATGCCTGGTTTATGATTCCAATAGAGTACATTGCTCTGAGTCTCTGTATGGTCCTGGGTCACCCACGCTATGTGCCATAGAATATTGAGGTGCACTACATATTGCAAATCCCACACCAGAGGGATGTGATGTGGAAACCCCACTAGGTGAACAGGCTCTATCTCAAACACACCTGTAATCGAGGACTTAGGCCTAAGCTACATGGTGTGTGAAGAAGCAGAAGACAGCTCTTGAACTTTCGATAGGTGGACTAACAGTTATTTACTACTTTCATGCCCCACTTGTTTTATTAAGATATGTATTACTCTGACAGATGTGGGTCTGACATTGTCAGTGAATATTATTGTAAGTTTTCCTGGCTATCTACT